TATGGCCCAGGCCCCGAATTAAATGAATTAATTGAGGAATTCAACCAGTTCATTCAATTCTTTAAATGGCCTCGGATCTCTAATGGGCGGCCTGTATTTATTTAATTCAGTTAGTTTATGCAATTCTACGGCCTACGCCCCGAATCAAATGAATTAAGGCGGCAGCTCCCAGGCAATTTACGCCAATTCATTTTAATTCGGGGCTTAAGCCGTAGAACTACATGAATTAAATTCATTAAATGCAGACCGCCCCTCAGAGATCCGAAGCCATTTAAAGAATTAAATGAACCAATTAAATGAACTAATTACTCAATTCATTCAATTCGGGACCTAGGCCGCGGAATTAACTGAATTAACCAATGTATTCATTTGAGTCGGCGTCAAAATTACTTGTTGATGCTGCTTTTGGTTTTGAATTAGCGCGTCCCCTATCGATCCTCGAGGTTTTTGCCGCGTGCACCTGCAAGGACCATACGACTGAGTAGACTTGTTAAGCTATATAGATGTGCTGGGAGTTTCTGCGTTTCCTGAGTACAAGTGACGAGTTCCAGGAGAGAAGAGAGGAGAAGTAGTAGTCGTCGTCGTAGTAGTCGTTAGTAGAAGTGGTGGTAGTGGTGGTAGTAATAGCCGTAGTAGTAGTTGCAGTGGCAGTAGCAGTAGCAGTAATTAGCAGGAGCAGCAGGGCGTCTTCCCCATGACATGGCCAGACCCTCGCACGCAAGCATACTTTCAAGTGCGACAAATACCTAAATGAGCCATGGGGTTGCTTAGCACGTTCTTGACGCGTTTGGGGTATCGACCGGTCATCGATCTGGTTATCGATCCACATCTGACATGAAAACTGAAAATCTGCAGAACATGTGCAGAACAAGCTTTCGGCGCACAGGTTTACAGCCTTTTCCGACAGTTTAAGCTTCGAATCGATGGACGTTCCGTGCACGCATCTGAAAGCTTCCGTGTCGGTCGCTTTGCCCTAGGCACAGACTATTAGGCAATACTTTGCATACTTATTCCGCTTCGAGGGGTAGCTCAAATCCGACTACGGCGCATGCTTCTACTAGCCTATCTTATCATGGGTTATCGTTTTAGCGCGTCCCCTATCGATCCTCGGGGTTTTGGCACAACATCTACCCTCTACACTGAAATATATAAACGATAATTTTGACCATAACTCATTTAATGCGGCCCAGGCTCGAGAACTCGTTGTTGATAGAAAAGCTACTGCTTCAAGATATACATAATAGCGAACTTTCATGTCGTGCAAAAATATAGAGAGGGAGTCTCTCATGACCTAAGGCAAGGTAGAGTTCATGTAAAGGATAGGATAATTCAGAACTCCTCTACCTCTAGACAAAAAAAACTTAAAGAGGACATTAGAGAGCTCTCATAACACGTATGTTATCAATTCGTGCTTCTATCTCTGAGTACGAAATGAAAGAGCTCCTCTATCTTCTTATATGAAACGAAAGAACTCCTGGTTAGGAAACGAAAATAGGTCTTTTGACAGGAAAGGAACGGTGTCCTCTATCTGATAATCCGTTTTAATCCGTAATGAAAGAGCTCCTCTCTCTCCAACGGAATTAGCATGAGTTTAGCGGGTTTTTGAGCTCGCTCAGCGCTTCGGAATACCTGTGGTCCACTGCCAAGTGCACTCGGTGCCTGAATGGCAGACAAAGTATACTTAAGGCGACCTCCCTGTCAAATTCGCCATCAAGCCCTCTAGAACTCTTAGACATGAAAGCCGTATAACCTAGCCTTCTTCAAAGGGTGTCCCGTCTACGGCCCTTCGTATTTTCAAGACGTAACTTAAAAAGTGATTCGAACCATGTTCTAGTACGTAGAGGTATAACGACAACTAGCCACGGGGGGATTCGGATATGAGGAGTCGCACCCCTATAGCAACCAAAAAGATAGCCACTCCAGGTCAACCAGTCATTATCCCTGTTTCGTCGAGCATTTCAGAAGTCCACCACCACCTACTTCCAGTGGGTCGAAGACGCACTTGGTATCTGAGGAGTAGTCAAACACCTTCGAGCTTTTGAAGCGTACGAGGGTTCTTTCGGTGCGTATCGGTGTGGCTACCTAGGTATTTCGAACCAAATTCGTCAGTACACAGAGTGCACCGAACAGATTAGGTATAGTCTGAAGACGATGCGGGGACATCACTGCAGACTGATAGTGCGAACTTGTATGATTTAATTTTGGGGTCGTTAAGTTTGTGACAAGCCAGCCAGACCTATAGAGCCCCCAAATGGAAAATATCACTATATACTCTGTATACATCCGACAGAGCCTGCGGATACTTTCTAGGCACACTACGACACTCTAAACCTTAAGCTTTATCATTCTACCAATCCTAAACCTTGAACCGTAAACCCCCGATGACGTCCAACAGACTTCCGACATCACCGCTACACTGGCAGCATGTTCACTTCCTGGGATGCATGACACCTGACCCAATCAATGTCCATGCTTAGGGGGATTAACTTTGATATGTTGCAGATGGGGGCAGTAATCAAGGTCATAATTGGTGGCACTATCGGCTCATAATCATCATCTGCGGAACTAAACCATGCTCTCCCGAGCTGCAGTCTTTCTGCTAAGGCCGTTATGGAACTGCAATAACACCCGACGCCCTATAAACCAGTTCAACCTCAACCCTTTGAAACTCTGTTCAAACACGGGTTAAAATCCTGGAGGCCTGGAGCACACCTTGGAACCGGAACTCTTGGTCCCCTGCTGGAGGATGCTCACTGCCTGCTGCACTCGATGCCTTCGACGTTTCAAGGTGTTGATGCTTGAATAAGGTCTTAGCGTGGGCCGGGCGGGGGCGGGGGGCGGGGCAAGGATTGGGCAAATACTGGACTGTTGTAGGTATGTCAGGGCTTGTGGGCTATAACCCTGTATGAAAAGTTTTGCAGAGGCTTGAAGCCAGGTTTCGGCGCAGGGTTCCCGATTTACATGGGTGCGGGTCTTGAGCTGAGGGCCTTCATGGTGGTGTGCGTTTGTGATATTGTTGTTAGCAACAAATTTCTCAATACATATGCATACTCACACAACTCCCGGAATTGAAGGGGTGTACAACTGTTTCTGAGAGCCCCAAAGACCTTTGGACTGAACTCGGTGCCGAGGCCCATGTTCGGAAGCGAGACTCAACTACGTCCATATTGGTTTATGACTAAGGGCTTACGGCTTAAAGTGTGCAAAATTCATGGAAGGTTTGTAGGCTTGGTGATTCGATCCTATAGGGGTTTCTCCCAAAAGCACCCTTCCGGTATTTAGGACTTTGGGTTTAAGGCTTTTGCCTCCTAGGCTTACGGGGTGTTATGTTGTGTTTCTTTGAGCTTCGGGTTTCGGCGTGTCAATAGCGATGATTCGTTGCATATAATTCATTACCTTGACGGAGGTAATCATCATCTCCTTCGCCATGCCCAAACGGCACAGCAGAATGGCTAGCCATGATGTTGTCCACGGATCGAGCCCCCGGAAATTACCCTTTCAGAGACATGGACATGCAAGTGATACGTGACGCAGACAGGCACCCGGATGTGTAACATTCAGTATTTCGCCTCCCTGCCGACACCTCAAACCAAAGCGCTGTCCAACTCCGGGGCCCTAGCAAGCTGCTCGCTTCCGTGTGCGCTGGGCACCTGAGGTCAGGGCCACTAAACCCGAAATCCGGTTTTCCCTCAAACCGAAACGCCCAAACATTGGCATGGCAGCGAAATCGCCGGGGTCCTCACAAAGAGATCCCAGATGATTGGGGTATCCAGGTGTTTTCGGAAATGCAAGGCTAACCTGGCTTGAAGGGTTCTCTGCGTTTGGCTTTGCCGAGTTGCTCGTCATTTTGGGCTGACTAGCCCAGTCTAATTGTATCTAAGCTTGATGCCGTACTTGATGATTCAAGGAGCTTGGCAACTGGATCATTGGAAACGTTTTCAATCCGCCGATTGGCGTCGCAGTATTAAGAGCCTTTTGACCCCTTGCTTGCTTCAGAATAGACTCATACTCTTCTCCCCTGCACAGCTTTAGAAGGCCAGGGAAAACGAGGATGCCAAGGATGCGGGCGGAATGGGGTTTGGGATGCGGTAAGTTAAGCAAGGACTTTAATGAAATATTGTTTCCGACTCGTGTCTTAGGAACCTGATGATTCTGAGACCTTTCGAAGAACAAACCACAATCTGGGCGTCCCCACACCCTCGAAGCCCGGCGTTTTGCCGCTGCGCTTTCGCGCCTTAACTGGGGCTCGATGCGTGACTTGGTGGTCGTCAAACCTCACCTCACCCATATAACTGTGCCATTTGCCCAAAAAGCAAGGTGCATCAGTTTTCGTTGCCGATCTCAGGCTGATGCGGCGCGCGGCTTGGGGGCAGAACCCACCTCAATGAATTAGCTGACGATGACAATGGGACCGCTGCGATTCGAGAACCAGGCGAGCCTGCATCGTTGCATTACGAACCATGCGCCAAACAGAAAGAATGCACTGAGCACATCGCGTAGGGTGACAGCCAGCCTGCTTGCGCCTCTCCAGGTCAATGATGCCGGGGTTTCCGGAGTTAAGGCTGATGGGCTGATGGACTTGTGAGTTTCAAAGCCTACTACAGAACCCATCCCGGCCAATAACTTCATTTTATGACCTACTTTTGATTATGCTATGAATATTGGCTTTCTACTTGTATGCTAAGTGTATAGTTTTTTCATGACCGTTTACTGGTTGATTGCCAACAATGTCTTATCGCTTATTTGACATTATTCAGATGCTTGCTACACATGCATGGTGTGCTTATTTCTACTGTCGGGAAACATTACTGGTTTCATAAGATCTTGGGTCACCATGATATAAGCCAACACGGGGCTTGGTGATGAAGAATTGTGGGGCAAATCGTTTGACCATAGTTATACCGGGCCTTCAAGCATATACTATGGCGAGTCATTCAGACCGATAGAACCCCCACCTGCTCGGCGTGGGATATGTGCTATGACAGCCGACAAGCAATCTTCTAAACTTCTAAACACGGCTGATTCTCCCGATAGCACCCGCGTCCCGTAAGCCACCAAAAAACCAAACGCGGCCACCTAAACCAGATGTCCACCCTAAGGCTGCCTCGCGATCCTTTCCTGATGTTGCACCATGAACCACTCGTTTGCACAAAAGCCCACAAAACAGTAGGGAGCCCCTATCCAGACCCCAAGCTCTCGAAAATGTGTACCAATTACTAAGGCTGACAAATCCTTGCATCCCAAACCCCGAAACCTCAAACCTGCAAACCCCTACAGCCTGAACCCGATGCCTCTTTCTCGGCCACGGAGTTTAGGATGACTGTCTCACCAAAACGCCCCGCAGTCTTTACGCGGACTTTTCAGAAGGCTCCAGGGGTTTAGAATAGGAGGTTTCGGGGTTACAGGTTTTGGGTTTACGCTCCGGCTCGCGCAAGATGAAAGCACGACTGACTGCTGCTACAGCTTCAGTGTTGCGCAACAGGATTTAGGGCGGAGGGCTTCTGTCGCAAATTCTAAAAGTATCTAAAAGTGATTCCTGAGCTCGGTTCTTTAGGGCTGCGAGATCTGGGATTTAGGGTCTTGGGCTTGGGGTGTATCATGGTCTGGGGCTTCAGCTTGGGAGGATTCGAGGCTCATAGGACAATGCAGCCCCCCTAACCGAAGTCCCTGGACCCTCAATCCAACAACTCCACCACCCGATATCTCGAACTCGCGAGTCCCAATAATCAACTCCAAAACTCCCAACCCTAAACTTGAATTCCTACGTACCTCCCACCAATCTCAAAATCCGAATGCCCTGCCTGCGTGGACCTCGCTGGGCGAAGTATTGCCCACCTAGGGCGCGCTGGAGGGCTTGCGTGTTTTTGGATTAAAAGGTGTTGGGGAACGTTTCACTGCACAGCCCCGAATTCCAACTTCTTCCGATCGGAACCCACCCTTCGGGGGCTTGAGGAATTTGCGGATCTGGGCAATGGTGGACATTAAACTCGAAACTCTTGTGAATCATCGACAAACACATGTGTTTGGCAGTGGGGCACCACTTTGAAGCCAAAGCAACGGCAACAAATCGTACTTCTTAGCACTGGGGCACCACTTTGAGGCCAAAGCAACGGCAACAAATCGTACTTCTTCGCACTGGGGCACCACTTTGAGGCCAAAGCAACGGCAACAAATCGTACTTCTTAGCACTGGGGCATCATTTCACAAGCCAAAACAACAGCAACAAATCGTACTTCTTAGCACTGGGGCATCATTTCACAAGCCAAAACAACGGCAACAAATCGTACTTCTTAGCACTGGGGCACCACTTTGAGGCCAAAACAACGGCAACAAATCGTACTTCTTAGCACTGGCGCACCACTTTGAGGCCAAAGCAACGGCAACAAATCGTACTTCTTCGCACTGGGGCACCACTTTGAGGCCAAAGCAACGGCAACAAATCGTACTTCTTAGCACTGGGGCACCACTTTGAGGCCAAAGCAACGGCAACAAACCGTACTTCTGAGCACTGGGGCACCACTTTGAGGCCAAAGCAACGGCAACAAATCGTAGTTCTTAGCACTGGGGCACCACTTTGAGGCCAAAGCAACGGCAACAAATCGTACTTCTTAGCACTGAGGAACCACTTTGCGGCCAAAGCAACGGCAACAAATCGTACTTCTTAGCACTGGGGCATCATTTCACAAGCCAAAACAACAGCAACAAATCGTACTTCTTAGCACTGGGGCATCATTTCACAAGCCAAAACAACGGCAACAAATCGTACTTCTTAGCACTGGGGCACCACTTTGAGGCCAAAACAACGGCAACAAATCGTACTTCTTAGCACTGGCGCACCACTTTGAGGCCAAAGCAACGGCAACAAATCGTACTTCTTCGCACTGGGGCACCACTTTGAGGCCAAAGCAACGGCAACAAATCGTACTTCTTAGCACTGGGGCACCACTTTGAGGCCAAAGCAACGGCAACAAATCGTACTTCTTAGCACTGGGGCACCACTTTGTGGCCAAAGCAACGGCAACAAATCGTACTTCTTAGCACTGGGGCACCACTTTGAGGCCAAAGCAACGGCAACAAATCGTACTTCTTAGCACTGAGGCACCACTTTGAAGCCAAAGCAACGGCAACAAATCGTAGTTCTTAGCACTGGGGCACCACTTTGAGGCCAAAACAACGGCAACAAATCGTACTTCTTAGCACTGGGGCACCACTTCACAAGCCAAAACAACGGCAACAAATCGTAGTTCTTAGCATTGGGGCACCACTTCACAAGCCAAAACAGCGGCAACAAATCGTACTTCTTAGCACTGGGGCACCACTTCACAAGCCAAAGCAACGGCAACAAATCGTACTTCTTAGCACTGGGGCACCACTTTGAGGCCAAAACAACGGCAACAAATCGTACTTCTTAGCACTGGGGCACCACTTTGAGGCCAAAGCAACGGCAACAAATCGTACTTCTTAGCATTGAGGCACCACTTCACAAGCCAAAACAGCGGCAACAAATCGTACTTCTTAGCACTGGGGCACCACTTTGAGGCCAAAGCAACGGCAACAAATCGTACTTCTCAGCACTGGGGCACCACTTTGAGGCCAAAACAACGGCAACAACTCGTACTTCTTAGCACTGGGGCACCACTTAAGCACGATTTGTTGCCGTTGTTTTGTCCTCAAAGTGGTGCCAAAGTGCTGAGAAGTACGATTTGTTGCCGTTGCTTTGGCCTCAAAGTGGTGCCCCAGTGCCAAGAAGTACGATTTGTTGCCGTTGTTTTG